GGGTAGGGAGAGAAAAGAACTTTTCAATTGGCTCCACTGGCATTTTCCTGTTCGGTCCACCAGTGAGAGACGTAGTTCATTTGTGGAGTATTATTAAGCTGTACTGCACTTTTGGTTGTTGGATTCACAGTTGTTTTTGCGGTGAATGTTCTAAGAGCATCTAATTAATTTGATTTCATTTCTGATCATTTCGGCTGTCCTACTCTCAGAAAGTAGTGTCCCTAAAGGTTCTTAAGAAGTCTGTTATTCTTAGCATAATTACATAATTAGTAAACAGTGTCCTAAGTTAAAAAAAACTTAGGCTGTTTTTGCTTTGTGTACAGTCAAGATCTAGTTGGAGCAACTTTTTAAAAGAATGATAAATAGAAACTTTCTTTACCTGGCCTGTCATTTATCCTGTAGACTTAATGACATTCAGTACTATTAGGCTCACTGCCAGGGCCTTGGGAGAAAAGGAATATTTATACATTGAGTTATGGATAAATGTAGGAGAAAAAAAGAGATGGGCAGAAAGTCAGACTGTACAGAACAGAGAAAAATTTGAGACCTTCACTACATGTGGATTAATCACAAGAACTAACCACGCAAATCCAAATGGATATTTAGAAACTAGTGAAGCCTTCAAGATGGTCTGTGGGAAACACCATACATTTTCAAATGCATGAGTGTGAGTAAAAAGGTGTGTAATTTATAATGGGAGTGTTGACAGAACTTCAGCTCTGGTGTTGCAAATGTGCTATATAATATATTTACAAGTGGTAACATTTCACATATATGGGCATATCTGTACCCAAGATATTTCTTTAGTTGAATGTTACAACTTAGGTGAATGATTATAATAAGGAATAATAAGCTGCAGTTTTGCTAATCTTACCACATAGTTCAGCATTGGGAACTGCATTACTATTAAATTGGTCCATGAAAATATGGCAATATTAATGCTACCAAGCATGAAAACTAACTGGATTTGGATCAGGGACCTTTATTTATAGTATTGTAGTGAGGATTTATTAGTTTAAAGAGAGCTGTGTTGCTTCTATATTAAGTAGTCAGACGTCTTGTGTTACCGTCCAACAGCAACAACAATAAAAACAAAAAACCAACAAATTGCAAACAATATATTCATTTCAATTTTCTTATCTTATCAAAAGATACTTGGTGAAGTAATAGCAAACTTTGGAAAGTTTTGAACCACAGCCGCATAAACTGCAGGTTGCAGATGTGAATAAAGCCTTTGTAATATAGCTCACAATTAATTAGAAGAGAAATAAAATGATGAATTTACTAACGTGTAGAAAACATTGAACGTTTACATATTGAATAAGCAAACATATTTATATGTTTTATCCATCATTTGTTATTTTCATATTTTGTTTGTGATGCTTGAACTGCTTTCTGTCTTTTTTCATTTCTTTCTGGTTTCATTGGTAAAATGGCCTGTTGTCCCTAAATAGTACCTGCAAGTTCAGGACCAGACGAGTTTGCTGTGAGTCAAAATAGTTACAAGGGGAACATCAGCATGGCTCATTCCTCCCTCCCCACCCACCCTTGCCCCCGTTTTATTTGGAATTAAATTAGGAAATGAAAGTTTTTAGCAGTTTAATTCACTTCTCCATAAAGTTTATGGACCAGCAACAGCTGGTTGAATCTGCGGCAGAAAAAGCCAACTTCTAGTGGCCAAGCTATTGTTTCAGAATTAAATGGGGAAAACTCATTAACTGTTAATGAAAACACAGGGAGTAAAAACAAATAGTACAGAAACCCTAGCAAATAATTACCTTACACCTGACACAAAGCTGCTTTATCTTTCTGCTCCAACCCTCAGAAATTCCCAACTTATCAGTCTGTGGAGCATGAATGAAATTGAGTTTTACTCTCAGGAAAGAACAATAGAGAAATCATCCCCCTTATGGGCCCCTTAGCACGATACTCAGTGGAGAACCTGCCATTGAATATACTAAGCAGTGTATCTTGTGCCCAATTCTTACAACACTTAGGATGGAGGAGCAAATTACCAGCTAATAGCAGTCAAACCCTTGATATAGTTCCCCCAGATAATGTTAGAAATACAAAGAGAAAGGACTGAAGGTAGTGGATATGATTAATGGAGATATGGTGTGTTAGAATATATATCTGTATAGAAATACATTGATTCTGTGTGAGTTGCAGTGGGAAAGTATGTCTCTAGTGGCAAGGGGTCTTGCTTGTGAGAATGCCACTCTAAGCAGATGGAGCTCCTAAGCCCTAATTGTAGAGCTGCTGAGTGGAAATGTCTGTCACTATAGTTTGTGATCATTTATGTCTGATCCCACTGGACTGTGGTATTGGCCACTTGGAACTGTGATTGTCAGAGCTGTAGAAAAATCCAGAGAACACTTATGGTTATGTTTTAAGGAAAAATCATGTTCTAAACTTAAATCCAAAATGACCACAATAATTGCTGGTTCTTCTATAAAACTTTCACCCATGCATCTTCAGTAGTTGTAATCATTTTAATTACATAGGAGTATCTGTTTATATAGTGTTAGAGACTTGTTTTTGTGTGCCCAAGGGAGTTGGGCCACTTGTTATGACACTAAAAACACTTACAACGACATCTCTGTCATCGGGAACTAATTATGCTTGGGTGTAAAACATATTTTTAAATGTTTCTTTCACTGCAGTCATTTTTACTGGCCCAGGCTTATTTTGCTGTGTTCAGTTATATACCTCTGTTGTTGTATACTTTATGGAGGCACAGTCTTGTGTTTGGCACAGGGCTGGCTGTTAAAAGCCCATCTCAGGTCACTAAGAAACCGTAGGAATCACGTGAAGACTTTTCCATCTGAAGTTAGTAAATGAGGTGCCAAAAGCAGGCAGGTATTTTAGATGAGAGTTTAAAAACAGAAGCCCTAAATGCCGTGTGACATTCTGAATTGGATCCTCGAATAGAAGAAGGACATTATTGGAAAAACTGGGGAAAGCCAAAGAAAGTCTGTAGTTCAGTTAATAGCGATGGACCAGTGTTAATTTCTTGGCTTTGACAGATGTACTTTAGTTATATTCGAAGTTGATATTGGGGGATACTTGGTGAAGGAACTCTGTACTCTCTTTGCCATGTTTTCATAAATCTAAAATTATTCTAAAATTAAAAGTTAATTAGAAAAACAACAAAACAAAACATAACCCCTTTCTGATCTACTTATTTTTTTAAAAGCCCAGAATGCTATAATGTGTAAGAGTAGATCTTCTTTTCTTTTTAGTGGTAGATTTGCCAAATTTCTAAAGCAAGCAAAAACTTTGAGTCTAGAATGATACTTGATAAATAATGCTCAGTTTATCTTATAAATGTTAAGTTTTGCTTGGCAACCCAAACTACCACTACTACTTCTTTTTAATTGATTTTGATTTGGCTCAAAATAAAAAATTCCTTTTAACCTAGCAGTTCACTTTCACTTTACCTGCCAGACAGTCCATTTAGAGCATGTTGATAATATGATTTTAGTGGATTTGCAGTGATGTAAAATTTGAACATTTTAACCCTCAGTTCAGTATTTGAGAATTTTTCTGATTATAATGGAAATTGCACAGTGATGCTTTAAGCATAGCCATAAGCTGTTGTGTACTGATCAGTAGTAAACTAATAAAGGAGGCCATTTCTTCTGACTTCAGCCAGCTACTGTTCTGTGAGGTTTTTTAAATTTTACTTTTTCTTCTCTACAGTAAATGCTGCAGTTTCTTTCTAAAGTCCTGTATCTGCAGGTGTTCAGCTCAGCTATGGACATCTACTTACACTGAACATTTGTAGAAAGAAGAGACTTTAGATATGATCATATAATTTACAGAAAGAGAAGGCAATAGCCATTCTCTTTTTATTTTATATCCTCCCTATCCATCTAGTTTAATTGTAGGAAATAAACCTTTAAAGTGAGGCAATACAGATTCTATGTAGGTTGTTTGGTTTCACTGCTCCCTAGTTGAAATCCAGGGCCAAAACTCTACAGTGGTTACTGAGATTAGCATTGGTGATTTCCTTTGGAAATTAGTGTTTGAAATAATATTAAATTCAGTTGAAAATCCCCTTTTCATGTTTGTGAAATGAACTGAGCAGCTGTCGATGTCCTTTTATCAACAGACTGTGCCTCTGTTTGGGGGATTTTAAGGAAAGCCATTTGCAATGCAGAGCCTTTTCTTCCGGTTTCTGAGTGAGCAAACATCTTCCGTCTGAACCTTTTAAAGTATCATAATAGCATTGGCTATTTCTACAAAGTATAATCCAATGTATGTTGAAAACACCCAAAAGGGATTAGCAGTGCTTTAATTGCATAATTTAGTATTGCATATACATTAACTTGTATCAAAGCCATTTTACAGAACAAATATTAGGGCTTTTAAAATTCCTAAGAGGTCAGTTGCATAGGCTGTAATCTAGAATTACAAAGAGATAACTTTCTTAAGGTTGGAAAACAAGTAGTGATTTAAATAGGAATAGAATCCAGCAAAGTCTTGGTTCTCTCTATTTTTACTTCTCTTATGTTTCAGAGAAGGAAAGAATATTGGCCTTGCTACATTATATTTTGTACAGAAAGTTAACCCTTTGTGTAATTTCTTCTATTTCATTTGGAAATATAAGAGAAAGAGGCATTCAGGATAAAGATTGTAATTAGTGGAGACATAGTGTATTCGGATATGTACTTATATAGCTGTGTTTCTGTTTTAAGTGTGATACAATGGAAAAGTTTCTGTTTGGTGGTGAGAGGTCTCCCCACTCTAAGATAATAGTTCTTAAGCTCTAGTTAGTTACTTGAGTGGAAAATTTCCTGTCCAGGTAAGTTATTTTGTGAGCTTGTTTATCTGTTTCTTACATGTTTAATGGATGGTGGCTGTGTCCACAAGTAAGATACATTGTGTGTGTGTCTCTGTGTGTGTGTGTGTGTGTGTATGTGAATACCAGAAGAGATCTACAAATACCTTTATAAAGATATCCAAAGAATGACCTTTCTTTCTTTTTTGTCTCTTAGGGGGAGACCAAGCTGAAAGTTACCTTGGACAGGACAGCTCTGATGATAATCACAGTGGAACTCATGGCCCTTCCCTCATGTCAGATGCACCCTTTATGTCAGATTATCAGGATGAGGGTGAGTGTCATCTTTTGTCATTTGGTGTCAGGCAGCTGTAGGTGGACTCTCTGTGTTGATAATCACTGGTTCGCAAAAAAACAAATATTTGTTTCTTTGTAGTACTGCTCCTTCTGGGTAATATAATGCTTCTGAAGTTAATGTATTTAGGCTAACACTAATTCCACATTGGAGAGGAAGACATCATTATTGATCTTTTTATAAGAACTGTAGCTTAGAAGCTAAGGGGGCTTTTTAAGATGCTGTGTACTGTTCTTTCAGATTTCTTAACTTCTCTGAGTTGCATAAGAATTGGAAGCTTCCACTTAATGATTATTAGATTATTAATTTATTGTGGATTATTTAAGATCCTTGAGCTCATCATATTGTAATGAGATATTGTTTTCACTCACACTACTCACATACCCCTGATGGTATTGGTATTGTTCCAGGAGAAGGGGAAGCCACAGGAACCCCAAGGCACATCTTCCTAGGGCATCAATTTTACTTGAAGATTTGGGAATGGGAGGAGTTAAATAATTCAACTGTTTTAAATATATTTTTTATGTTAAAATATACATCGGTATTTAATAGAGTGGAATGCAAAACATCTATGAATTTTTAACATAAGATACCTGAATATAAGGATTCGGGCCTGGTGGCTGCCAGTTCCTGGCTCATGTCTGCATCTCCCAAGGGTAGGGCTCCCGTATTGTGTCTCTTTTGGTGTCTGGCCACTTGAGTAGAGGGTTTGATCATCACTGATGCACATGATTATCTTATCAAAGTCTCTATTGTGCCTTTCCCAGGGGTTAGAAAAATGTAGAGCTACTATTAAATAGAATACTAAGATGGAAGCATATTTTTCACTTAGGGGTGGGATTAAAATTGGTAAATTATTCCTTATTTCTCATTATTCATCTGTAAATTTTCTATTTTTTCCCTCCAATTTGCCCTATAATTTTGTTATTTTGTAAGAATTCATCGTCCCTATTTACCGTTTTCTTTTTGATTAGGTAATTAATTCATTAGTTATTTCATTTAACCTTTTTAATGATTCACACTTTTTCTCCTTTCATCAAGTTGATAATCTCCTCAGAACTAAAGATTTAATCACACAGACACATTATATTTTGCTTGACATTTGTATATTAGCACAGTTAGTAATATCCAAGTTTTTAAAATTGGGTCTTGGGATCTGTAACTATAGCATTATATTGGTTCGGGCATTACACTAAAAACATTGTATGGATTGAAAGCTTAATAATTACATTGGCAGCTGATTAGTAATTGTAGAAGATTAACAGTGCAAAACCAACCTTTCATTTGTTTTTGATTAATCTAATGCTTGACAGAATTTTAACAATAGTGCCTCATTAATCCATAGGTCACTTATGTGGTATTTCCAACTTTCCCCAACCCAGCTGAGAACACACTAAATAAGCTAGAAAGACTTCTAAGTTGAAATCGATGTTACCAAGTCTCAAGTCATCACTTATGTACCTCATTCTTGGGAAAGCCCTTGAAGCCCTCGCCAGGGACTCCTCTTCTTACAAATTTCTAACCAGTTGGGTGTTTTAATTTCTCAGCCTACAGTAGAATAAAGCATAAAATGAGAAGAAGGGGCATTAACAGATAGCGTTAGGGTAAGAAACAGGAAAAGAATTTAAAATTTATAGAGAAAACAAAATCTGTAGAGAAAACAAAATATATATAGGAACTCAAATAGAGCAATCTGAGGCCATTTTGTATTGTAGAGGGAAACAGCCCAAATTCTGCCCCTAAGAGCTCAGTACCCTAATACATTGAAACGTTTTTAGCTAGCACTTATTGAACCCTTACTATGTGCCTTACTTTTGTGTTCTAAGCACTTTGTATATATTATCATTTAATCCTCAGTAGGTAAGAGGTAGGTACTAGGATTATCCTCATTTTGCAAATCAGGAAACTGAGACCCAGAGAAGTTAACTTACCTAAGTTCACACAGCTAATAAGTAGTAGTGCCAGAGTTTACACTTAAGTTCTAGAACCTCTGCTCTTAACCATTCCACTGTCCTCATCTGAGTTATCCAAAGAGGTGGATTCATGTTGTAGACTTTTTGATTAAGACTATTCAGGTACACAGAGGATGTTTAGAAGTATTGTCATTAAAAATAATTGAAATTAAAAAAAAAATTAGTGTTGAAAGAGGTAGCCCTGTTCTCTGGAAAACTCCAAAGTGAAAAACTTTGTTTTATAATAGTTCCCCATAAGTGAAGTATTAATTATATTTGTAATATTAAATTCTTACTTAATAGATTTTTGTTTTTAGTTCTGTACTTAAAAGTTAAAAAGTAACAGAGCCAATGATAGAGGTAGGAATAGATCTGTTAGTGTTAAAAACTTGATTGTAAGATAGTGAGATAATGTTTAAATATGAGTTTCTGTAAAGCATTGAATCTAGCACAGTGCCTGAGTATCTGACACATAATAGGCACACTAAATGTTTGTTCCCTCCCCCGGAAGAATAAATGTACATACATTTCCTATGAAATTAAAGAGGGGTTATAAAGATATTAAAATTTTGAGTAAATTTTGTATTCTGTTTAATTAGATTTTACCACTATAGATAATAGTAACACTTGATTTGCTGCTTATTCATTATTTTAACAAAAACTTATTCAGAGAGTACAAGGTAATAACAAGGTACTGTGCTAAGCTGTAAGTGAGATACAATGAAAAAATAGACAGTTCCTGCCCTCATGGAGCTTACTGCCTCATTGAGGAGACACGCTATTAGTAAGTAGACAAATGAACAAGTATAAAGTCAGTGTGTTCATTTGCTGGTGAGACAGCTAAGGTGATCCTTCAGGAAGAAAAGATATTCTTCTCTAAGCTTGTTTGTAGTGACAGTTGTTTTAGACATTTGCAATTTTATATTTATTAGAAAATGAACAGTCACCATTAAAATATAAAAATATTTCAGGCAGTATTTCAGCTTTGTTGCCTCCCACCCCAGCCAAAGCAGTGTCCTAAACTTAAAATTATAGCAGGACACATGATCTGACCCATCCGCCCAGTAACTTTAGTGATGAGAAGCAATAACCATGGTGCGTGTCGTGTTTGGGTCGTGCCTTTGTGAAAACTACAAAGAGATCTAGAAGAATATAGAAACCTGGCCAGGTGTACAGGAAAAAAGAAAACCAAGGTTACAAGCTAAACCATGCATAAAAACAAGAGCATGTTGCTGCCTAATCACAATTCCTTCTCCTTTTACTTTGAAAATGCCTACAATTAGAGGGCGACAGGCTATACCTTTTGGAGAGGTACACAGGAGCATAGCCCCCCATAGAGAGTGAAAACTTGCTAACATTTAAATATTTAAACCTACAGAGTCATAGTTTCTGCTATATTAAAGGAAAAAAAAATACAAACACTGAGTACAATAACTGCAAAAGTCAGTCACAAAGCCCAAGATCTCTTTGCTTTCAGTGTCTAACATATATAAAAGATTTTAAAGTGTATATGCACTTATTTCATTAACATAACAAAGAGCCCCTGTGTACAAAAAAAAAATTTTTAAAGGTGGATTGGGGAAGTGATTGTTCTACAAACAGGGTATACTGACTCCTTCTGGAAGGAGAAAAAATAAAATCATTTTATAAAAGAAGAAACCTGAAATCTGTAATAATGTATTATTACATTCTAATTAAAGAAAAAGGGTGAATAGATGGATATTGGACAGATATACCTGAAAAGTAAGGAGAAAGAATGTTTTTAGAGCTTATGATTATATCAGAATGTTGAAGGTTAGAGAAGGTTTTGATTCTCCAGAAGGAGGAGAAACAGAAGAGAATTTGAAAAGTGAAGACCTGTAGCCATCTTTGGAGAAGAGAAATAATGAATAAAAGAAGAGCCTATTGTTGATAAATTTATTATATGCTACTTGATTTAAAAGAAGTTGCAGGCCCATTAAAGCAAAGGACCGATAGTGTCTATTTCAACTCCTTGCCTTTTCTGAAAGATACATTCAAAAATATATACAAGATTTTGAAAATAAAGAGTTAGGTTTTTTCACAGCTTTATTTTTAGCACTAAAAAAAACATTTCTCTGCTTTCATTTTAATTTTGAAATACAAGTCTATTTTAGATTTAAGAATATGAATAATAGACTTTTTGTTGATCCTTTTGGACTTTTGTTTTCATAGTAGTAATGGGAAGAAGATATTAGATTTTATTTTAGTATTATGAAATAAAAATGAAAGTTTAATTTATTGATTAGATTTTATGGCTGGAATTCAAGTTTGTCTTAAATGTCATCGTAGCAGAGTCAGAGTCATGGAACTCGGGAGCTGGAGAGACCGATAAAGTCATCCAGTAACAGGAACCATTTGTTGTGTGCTCACTGTGGTGTGCTAAGTGATTTTTGTGGATTATCCATTTAATTCTCATACCGGCTCTGGGAGGAAGGTATAGTTATCCTCATTTTATAGATAAGGAATTTGAGGATTAGGGAAAGTAAGTGACTTGGCCAACGATGACATGTCTAATCCATGGGGGGATTGCGATTCAAATAGATTCCAAATCTGCTGCTTTTTGAAGAGCTCTGATTAGCTGGATTTTTGTCCTCTGTAGATACTCACTCTTGTGGGCTTTGCATCTCATTCTCCTATTGCTTTTCCCTGAATATAATGTTGATTTTTAAAATAAACATATTCAAAACTAAAACTTATTTTCTAAGTACTACTTTGACTGTATCTTACAAAATTTGATATGTACTGCTTTCATTATAATTCATAATTCTGTTTTGTAATTTCCTTTATGATTATCTTCTTTAACTTATGTGTTATTTAGGAGCAATTTTTGTGTTTTTGTTCTGATTTGTTTTGTTCTGTTTTACTTTCTAAGGATTTTTAAGTCTTTTTTTATTATTGACTTCTAATTTTACTACATTATGATCTAAGAACATAGCCTATATTATTTTCATTCTTTGGACTTTATTCAGACTTCTTTTGTGGCATAATAAATGATCAGTTTATGCT